CTTCCACGTTGATCACATTTATAATGACTCTCTTCAGATCCCAAGTATTTGTATGGCTTCAGTGCAGTGTGAGCTATGAGGGGCACATTTTGTGACAAATGACCAATCAGAGGCTCCCTACAAGCAAGGCTGTCAGCTGGTGTTGAACCAGCTTCTTTCCTATGCACATTAGCAACTGGAGTCCAAAGGAATATTTTTTCATATTGATTCCAACCTTTGTATTGATAGCATTTCTCTACTTCTTCATTGCTGTAAAGAAAAAGTCACAATACAATGGGTCTCCATATTAATGATGTACCAGAAGTTCATTTTCATGCCTGATAACAAATTTAGACAATGAATTAACAGGATGTCTTGAAAGAAATCTTCAAAATACCCATTCCCACAAGAGTGGTATTCATGTAGGAATTTTTAACTTGGCATATTTGCCAAACAAGAAAGTTTAGCTGGATAATGGGCAACTTGCTCATAGGAATATCACATTACTGATCATTTTGATACCTTTTCCCCATCACTCTCCCCTTCTCTCCTTACCCTTTTTGTCTTTCCCATCTCCCATCTCCAAACTACCAGTTTTTCCTTTTCCTATCACCTCTCCTTTATTTTACTCACTAATTTATAATTTTTGGTTTCTTATAGAAGAGAAGCCATGTGCTATTTCACATTTTATGCCTGAGTTACTTCACTCAACATAATGGGATGAAGATCCACCTATTTCTTTTGACAAATGACATGATATTATTCATCTTTTTTTGGCTAATTATACATTTATTATTATACTTTCTTTTTCTTTTCAGAGCTGGGAATTAAACACAGGTTTTAGTAAAAAATATCCAGTTTTTTAATGTCTTATGTTGAGAGATACTCCTTGGTGATTAAGTGGTTTAGGCTGAGCTTCAACTTGTCAGCCTGCAGAATCTGCTTCCCAGAGTGCTGGGCTGACAAGAGTGCACCATCATACTGAGCCTATCAACCATATTCTTCATGTGTGCATCCATCCAGTGATGGACATCAAACTGATTCCAGGGCTTAGCTGGTAAAAATGGGCTGCTTTGACTATGGGTATGCATATATCAGTACAATATGATGATTTTTAACTCTTTTGAGAGTATACCCAGGAGATTCATGATCCCATTGGAAAAAAAGGAAGTTCTACTTCAGCTTCTGAGACATCTGTGCACTGATTATCACAGGGGCTGTATTTAACATTTCACCAGCAATTCTGGAGGGTGCCTTTTAATTTTTAAAAATCACGAATGGACTCATTTCTCTGCAGAACATCAGTAAAATACCTACTGCAACACTAGCATTCATTTGTACTTTGAATACTGCTTCAGGGTTGGCAAAATTTTGGAATTGAATGTCTTAAATTTGCATGTATACATGAATAGATATCTCAAAGATGGGTTCCTGTCAAAATTCAAATTTTTTGTTTTTACAAATAAACCCTATATAATACCTAAATGCAATTTCATACATTTTTAGGGTTAAATTGTCAGATTATACATACTTAAGGTGTATATATATTTGGAGAATATTTGTGACATTATATTGA